AAGACTCATATCACCGAGATGGGTCCTTTTCGAAATTTTTCTAAAAATAGAATGTTTTTTTCATCATAATAGAAAACAGATTTGGGCCCTATTCGCTCATAAAATATCGGTCTATATGTGTAAATGAAAAATACGCGGAAAAGCCAATTTTGATCAAAACTCGAGATGGGTCCTTTTCGAAATTTACAATTCATATATATAAGTAAATATATTTTTGTATTTCAAAATTGTATGCATAACCTAATTTTTTGGGGATGTATAAGAATTATAAAACACTTTAATTAAATGACTAACTAAAATGAGTTTATTATACGTTAAACGATAAACTACCAATAGAACAACATTGCTCGGACAACACTGACCCTTTTCCTTTGTGTCCTCATTTCATACTTAAGCGGTACAATCAATATACATAGGTATACAATGGTAAACAGATAAAGTTTAAATAAGAAAAACAAGTTGATTAGTAAATGCTTACTACAGCATCACGTATTGATACACGACGTTAGTCTACAGACTTTGCACTAATAAGACTATAATATTATATAATATATCTAAATACTTAATAAAATAATAATATTATTCTTTGTGATTATTACAATATCAAATTAGAGATGATGTGTTCTGATGGAATCAGATTCCGGATGCAACTCAATGTACTGGAAAATATTACAAATTCATCATTGACCAGCGTAAACATTTTTGTATCAACTTTTTTTTATACTAACAGTAAATCCTAAAAATGATACAACCACTGTATCGATAGATAGATAAAAAATAGAGCGTTTAATTAGCTCTTAAACTAATTTTATAACTTTAATCCATGTATTCAATCGTGTATTGAAAAATATGAATATAAATTACCATTATATCAGTTTTTTTTTTTATTATATCAGTAATGTTATAATAATATTTAGGACTCCATAAAGAGTAATGTTAAACATTTAACATGACAAAATAGGAAACAAGCATTTATTTCCACATTTATAGAGATTATGGTTTTGACAAGTTTAATTTAAGTGATGAAACTAAGACTTTTATACAAGAACTAAAGTAGTCGTTAACGTAAAGAAACAAATATGTACTAGTCATTTTTTAAATAATGTATATAATTTCATCATCAAGGCCATACATGTTAGGGCTGCATAAAAGTCTACCACCATAGAACACGATATTATATCTGTTACAGACTATAGTAATACAAATTCGATAGTAGGAATATTTTTGTACAATTTTCGCTCTATAGCATCTTAAAAGGGTCAATATGCTCATGGTCCAGAACTCATTAAGATAAGATCAGAGTAGTCATGTACAACGATATTTTAAAGAAATATTCCCTCTATATCAAATTGCTGTCGAAAGGTTATTTCTATATAATACCTGCTCTATAAAATCTTGAAAGGATTAATATGTTGATATTAATCCGGTATTAAATCCGATTTTGGGAATTCATAATCTAATATTAAAGTTGATGGTATGTTATAATGAGCATGTATGACTCTAAAGTCTTATATAATTATAATAAAGAAAGAAAATTATTTGTGTCTCATAAATAAAAACATTAATTAGAAATGTACATTTCAAAATTGTATTTGTTTCAATCAATTAACAGATTAGAAATATATATGTACTTACTTAGAAGCAATTCTGTTTTGAAATTATACAATTGCTTTCGAATAAAAAAACATATTAATAAGCACCGGGCCAGTGTACCAGGGGATAGATAAACGATGAATAATGCGTATTTATTTTTAACAAAAGTTCATTTGTCTCGAATTATGATTCATAACATACTCAGGACATGAGTTTCTGATTATAATATTCCAATTTATATTAATAAACATTGTGATATTTTATTATTAAATGAGTAATACTATTATAATATGATCAGATACGGATTTAGAGCGAAGTGGGCCTAAGGCTTATAAAAATAAAAGGCCTATTTTTGAATTAATTAATAATCACTTTTTTAATGTTTTGAAACGCATCAGTACCGCGTACTGGCGGTTCCGGATTGTATTTCCGGGCAAGTACACGGTCAAGGCTCTCGCTAGATGGCGCAACTTATACATATTTGGTCGAACGTACCCGTCGGTTCCGTCTAATGAATTTGGGTTTTTAGGACATACGGCATATTATTATCCCTAAAAATCAAGTAAGAAATCAAACTATCGTACTTTTGCGTAATGTTCCCATTACCAGATTCACTTACCCCACCTGACGACAATTGTGTGCGGTTCAAAATTCATTTCACATATTTTACATAGTTTATGCCCACTAGCGGTCCATAAAATATACCGACAAGTCATACTGATTGTCCATCTTCAGTTCTGTTAGGTCGTATTGCTTTATTATTTTACATTAAAAAAACTGAAATTGCGAGTAAAACGAAAAATAACTACCAGCAACTTATTACCGCAGATAATATTAAAACAATATTTTTTATGAATTTAATATTTGAGAATTGCTTATTCATTTTTAACCAAAATATTACAACCTTAGGAAATACGTTGTAATACGAAAAATATCGTTATTTTATTTAGTTTAGAAAATACCTTTCGAGTATACTTTTTTATATTTTGACATACTACACTAAAGTGGACGAATAGTTGCTAAACTTAGGATTTTTCAACTAGTCGTGAGTCGACGATAAAGACCATTTATCACGGTATCGCCCAGACTGAGAGAGGGACGCTTTTGCTTTGTTTCCCTCCCAGTCTGACGCTAAATACATGCGATTCTTTGGTTCATAGTTTTAATAAGATGTGATATACTTCGAGATTTTGAAAATGTTGATTACCTTTTAAAATTACTATTAAAACGGCAGCATGAGTTTGTGACGATAATTTCATTAAACATTTTTAGTTGAACAAGTATTTTTAGAGTTTTTACGTGTAATATTTAAGTTAACTTTTAACTTAAATATTAATATTACTTCATGTGTAATTATTTTACATGGCCTTTTCTAATTATTTTGCTTGGCCGAATTCATGAAAAAAGGAGAAGCTTCTGCATCAAATCGATATGTTTATATCGATATATATTTGTTTACGTTTTCATTGTAGTTATGATCGGTTCCAGCTAATACATTTTTTAAACACAAAAATCTAGGTAGATTAACAAATACAAATTGTATTTGATACGATGGCTGTGTTTCTTCTAAACAAAATGACAATATTGTGAGTAATTTTTCAAACTGTCGATTAACGCTTAATTGGCTTGCTTTGTCGTTATTTTGCAATCGTTCAAATAAACTAATTTATCCACTTGGAAAAATAGTGCATTCCAAAATTATATGTTTATATTGGTCCAAGTCTATTTCTATAACTTTTCAGGACAGCCCAAAAACTTAAATCTCTATGAGACTTTTTTTTTTATATTTTAATATCTTTATCAAATATTTACACATTAAAATAAATTTGGTATTAAATAAAAGAAGAGATGCAATTTTATATTTTTCATTTCTATTTGTCATGTTACGTTGAAAATATTATCATTATAACAATCGGGACTTGGACACTTCGAATTTTGGATTTGGAGTTTGGACCCAATATTATTGAACTTGTATCATATTTAATTGCAGTGATCACAATTTCTGACCTAGATCATAATTTTTTAGATAATGTCTCAAAACAAATATAAATTTCGGAGCGTTAAACTATAGAGGTAAATAGACTCGGGAAAAAAGTTAAGTGTGTAGTAATTATAGGTATCTATAACCATCATTGACCGAATGAAACACATTCTGCATAGACAGGTTTAACGCTAGAAAATTGTGGATACATACCTACTTATCTTAATAAATGTCACTCTACAGTTTTCACTCCTCTTTATGCCATATACAATATGTGTACGAATAGTCTCCATTTAAAAACTCTGTCAGTCATCATGTCATGGGTCACCAGAGGTACAGTAAAAATAATAAAATCTTTCATGAAAAAAACATTTAAAAATATTTTGTTCATTCCAATATATGTTTATTTATTTCGTAATAATAATGTGAAATAAAGTTAAACAGGTTAGGATTAACTATTAAATGCCTTGGAAAAAAAAATACATAATATATCATTATCAATACGACTAAAGATAGGTAGGTAACTAGCCTGTTTACAGATTACCTACAGTACGAATAAACTAATCGTTGTCTTACAAATTATTAAAATAATAAAAAATAAAAATGGAGGAAGCAAATACAATACAATAATTATTAACAACAAAAAAAGCTTTACAATAGCGAAAAATAATTAATAATCATGTTAAAATAAGTTGTATAACTATTTTTCAAGTAAATCAAAAATTATACATAAAAAAATATACACATGTACAAAAACACAAAAAAATATATGTAGTAATCAATAAAAGTATAATAATTACAACTTAAGTGTAAAACAATAACAACAAAGTACAGTAAGACAATGTCGTTTAAGAGGTGCCGAAGGTGGGTAAAAACAATTTATCTCAGATAAAAGAAACCCACAACTAAAGTATGTTTGAAATTGTTTAATAAATATATCATGTGGTCGGTGATCAGTAAACGAGTTATTGAAATCAAACAGGCATTTAAAGTGTCCTAAACACTATCACTTCAATAATGGTTTTAAATATCACTAATTTTAAACAATTTCTACTAATATTTTGGACAGAAAGAAAGTATTATATTTTGCATACTTTTAACATAATATTTTACAGAGCCTAAACGATTTTGCAAGTTATTTTTTACTACTGATTTTATTTAAAGTAATTTAAAAACAACGTATTTTTATTTTTTATAATCGTTTTACTTATTAATAATTCTGATCGTAAAGTTCATTAGTGCTAAGAATAAATGTTATTGATTTTTTAAACTTTATAAATGTCACAGTATAAACGCTTCAGTTATTGTGATTTGTGTAATATACTAACATTCGTTAGAATATAAAATAATACAATATAAATATTAATAATATTTTTAAAATGTTTATTATGTATTTAGTATAATTAAATGTAATAGATTTATATATTTTTACAATAAAACTTTAATCGCAAACCGCTCAAATATTTAAATATAATAAATAGTTAATAGTATATTATACTATATGTTACGTTTTATTTTTGGTTATATATATAACTGATTAATTTTAAATACACGAATATAATTTATAATATATGGGTATCATTATCCAACTACCTCTATGGAATAATTTTAACATTTAATTTTTCTTCACTATTACCCTTCAAGCGTTTCTTAAAATACATAATCGTTGTTGTAAGAACCTTTCTTATTTAGTAAAATACTAACGATACAGCCAAACCCTTTTGCGCTCATCATACAACAAGAGACGGTGCCAAAGTATATTGTTTCGTTTAACTCTTTCTTTTTTGTGTTTAGAATTCTGCACATCTTCATTTTAACATGGATTCTTTAGATAATTATTAATAAGCACGCGACCTAACATTTTCTTACGAGACGAGAGATGAATGAAAAATACAACAAAAATCAAGTTTCTCCAACTTTAATCTCGACTACATTTCAATATACTCTGCATTTTTATAAGTCCCTTGTCCAGTTGACATTAGCTAAGAAACTTCTTTACTTACTTCCAGTCTGAGTGAACCTATGTCGTTAGCATAATACTATTCTGTACAGAGTGTTCCCCGAGAAATACTCAATGCAATTCGCCCTAAGTAGATAAGAATACATTTTTTATAAATAATTATTACTGAACATGTACGCTATATTATTTTTGAAATTGTGTTTTTTTTTAAGGTCTTAAAAGAAAGTTTATTTTTTTAAATGTTAATTACATAATAACGGTGTTCTGAAAAAGAATTAAGTATTGTCGATAATCCATTGTTGAAAAATACGTTTTTAATTGCAGAAAACATATTTACTTAGTAGACAAATGATTTGAGAAATTCCTCTAGATGGACACTCGGTTTTGCCATTTCCCAATCGAGTCGTTCGGAAGCGATAGCGGTTCTTTTTAATCAAATCTAATCTACTTAATAAGTATAAAGAAGAAAATGTCTATACAGCTACAGATTACAATCTATTTAAATAATTAATAAACGTAATTACGAGTAATGATTATTATTAATATATTATTAGTGACGCTAGGACGACTACAGTTGTCGTATGCTAACGGACAACAAAAACGTATAATACTTAGGGGATAATGATGATCATTTATTTTCTATTTTATAATATAATATGTAATTATCTGTTAGTGTGCGTTACATACCTACTAAAAGAAGCGCGCGCGCTAATTATAATTGTGCATCCTACATTATAACTCTACTGATTTTATTTTTATTTCAACTCGATAAACCTTACAATATTGGAACCTTAACAAAAACGTATAATGTCGGTACAAACAATGCAATAGTACGATTAAAGTTATAATAACACAGCGATTATCGTTATAGTTTAAAGTCAAAAAATATGCATCGGCCTCGAGAGCAGTTGTGACAACTGCCCAGTAATCTTCGGCCGTGCCGATCGTGTATGTTTATTGCCCTCATTTCTTTTCAGGATTTTACTCAATTATAATACAGGGCAAAAAACCAAAAGCAAACCTGCGCCATATACCCAGCGCACGTCTTGTAAATATCCGAAAACAACATTATTGTTGTGTCGCATTCACACTATTCGGCATGTTTGCGTAGGCCTCGGTAATATATTTGAAAGTTCATCGTCGGGCAACGGAAACGTTTGACTATTCGATGAATAAGTCTACACGGTTATAACCGTAGATTTCGTTATCGTACCGGCTTTTGTTGCGAGTACCCGTGTAATGTATTTGCACGTTGGCGACGCACGTGACAACACTCGGCAATGAGTAGATTATATAAGTCCAATGCGATCGGTTGTCGAATCAAGTAGCGATTTTGAAAACACACGAACGCGAATACAACGTTTAATATACGTTTGCACATCGTTGTCTTATGACGAATGCCTGTCTATCGCTAAAAAAAAGGCCTAGAAAGCTCTTGCACGTGGAATCGATGATGGATCCGGTCGATGGAATTTTGCTCGAGTAAGATCGTCGGATCTAACATCAACAACGACAGCATTACCACGAATATTGGCGATGGCTTTATTATCGCAAGCGCTCGTGGAATAAGTACTGTCTTGGCGAGGATCCCGTACGAGCCGGACGAGACTTCATAATGTGTTTTTTTTTATAGTTTTGCCAGTTGGTCGGCGACGGTATAATATGTGGTAGTGTATCCGAAAATACACGGAAAACGGACGAATGCCATATTATCATTATCTGTTAACGAACTACCAAGGGATGAGTAAGGATAACTTATTGTGAACGCGTCGCGCAAACGGTAACGACATTCGGTTAGGACAAATTAAGATGAAGATACCGAAAGCACGGGACTAGAATCAGTGGGCATCATACAGTAAAGTAGTTATTTTATCATTGATATTCAAATGTTTAGATGAGCAGTGCTATACATCAGAATGGTGACGGATTTTACGCGGGATTTCCGCTGTCAACAGAAGTACCCTCGTCATAGTTTACCGTCCGCTCGTCTATTAACTATGAAGAGGACAACTGTGCTGACGGTGGGAATCCTACATAAAATTGGCCGCCGTACTTGTGTATAACACTGCCTGTGTGTATATTTTTAAGTAAATATGGCATTATTTATGAATTTCATTTTGGATCAAAATCATACTTCCTCGTCTTCTCCACCCCCCTTGTAAAATTATTGGCTTGCACCCCCCCCTCTTTTTATTAAATTGATTACCAAAAGAAATGTCAATTATTATATTATGTTATTCATAAATACCATCGGTATATAGTATATATTGTAACTAACCTAACTTTCTGTAAATTACTAAAAAATGTTTTGCGGTTGTTAAATTGTAACTGTAATTTCATATCAATGCGTATTTGCTGGTTTTTGTTTTAATTGGCTTTAAAAACAGCTAATTTAATGTGTATAAAATTGACATTACTTATGGATATCAACGCAGTAGCGTGATTTTTCATTTCTAATTTCTACCCTTATAACCCCTACCCCTTTCTGAAAAAAACCAACAGATGATTTAAATTTGTACAAATATCGACTATTACCAATTATCTATGAGTCCTTTTTCATGTTAACTATTAAGAGAAATGTTTAATTGTTTTCACTCCACTGCAAGAATAAATATTTGATTGATGAAATTTGGGTTGGAAAAAATGAGGGGTTTTGATGAGAAGATGCTTAGACCAAGGTGAAGTAGATTGAGACGATGACAGCGATGGCGATGTTGTAGCTGCGTTGGGAGAATCCTATGAAAGAAGAGGTGGAGGCAATGCTTGAGGATCCAGATCCTGGAAACAATAATAATACTACATTAATATAATTTTACAGAAATATAAAAATGTAAAATTAGTTTAAAAAAAAAAAATACACACTTGATGATATTGAGCTACCGCGGGATGCTTGGTATTTCGGGTTCGGTTCTAATCATGCCAGCCAATAAAAAAAACAAATAATGAATAAATAAAAAACCATGCAAATAAAAAAACAAACGTAGTATAATATACAAAAAATAAAAAATGAAATAAAGCGTTTAAAATAAAAGTGCGTGTGGAGTCATGGGGCTATTGTAAGACATAGGCGGATCGTTTTTCAAATGATTTTTTCAGTAAAAAGACAATAATTCATGTATATTGTAACGAACATTCATCGATCGACTTATGACTTGTAATTATTAGACAATCAACAAACGGCATGCATTATTATATATTATATTATGTTTATTTTTAATTATAATTTGTTTTATCATAATATAAACATGCAAAAACTATACAGGTGCAAACAAAAAGTATAATAAATAATGTAAATTAAATAAATAAAACTTGGTGGAATAAGTGGACGTAATGGACATCTAAAACGTTGTTGAGACATGCAATTGACTTTTATAATACTAGTAAGTAGGGTACAAATATCACTTGGGAATCAAGAAGGGTACGGATTACAAAACAGAGAAACCAAACTCAATCAGCATTGTCGTATATTCATTATGACGATATTCATCGTTGTTGACCAAAACTCGACCAAATCGTTGTTATGGTTAAAATGAATTTAAAAAAACTATATATATAAAATATGTATTATCATGATCAATATCATACCATCATTCCCTGTCTGTGCAAGACCGAAACATAGCGAAAATACGTTGCGTAGTTCTCTGTACAGCGAGTTCCAAGCGTTTATAACCGAGAATTGACCTAGTGTGAAATTAACAAAAAACAAAAAAAAAACAGGAAAAACGTCATTATCTTGGTTTTTAGTGTGGTCGCAATGTAACAGTTTGTTGAGTTAAAAAAAAAACAACATTGAATTGAGTCATACAGACAGTGACGACAATACCGTTTAAGTGGAAGCTGGATAACTTCTATTACCTAATCGATGACATTGGCCCCGTTGAGAGTTTTAAGCCTAATAATTCCAACACTATATGTGTATATTTATTTGATTTTACTTAGCAGTACAACGGAAATGGAAAATTCTAATCGAGTTTACGAACCAGGAAGTGCGAAACAAGTACTAACTGAACTGTGAAAACACAGAATTGACATTTTCCTATTATATCTATAACGCGAATTATTAGAGTTTCTACCGATACACTAATCATAAAGCTCATTTGTCAAAACAATAGTAATTTCTTAAATGTTTTTCTCTTTCTAATCTTTGACTTTTGTACGTCGGCGAACGTCGGAATGGCGATTAGTATGCTTAACACGTTTATGAGTTATTATTATTATCATCATCGTTTACGGTTAATTTCGTAGCGGGCGGTCGTGTGTCGTCGGCGAGGAAGAGGCGGATAGAAAAATACAATAAACAAAACCAATATTGTGAAAATATGTGCCTTTACCGATTTCGGGAGTAAGGGCCGTGGTGAATTTGAATGCCGGGGTCAATGGGGTCCAGCCGAAACGGTTCTTGGCCATAACTTTAGCTTCGTATTCGCTGCCAGCTTCCAAGCCGCGGATGATGTAGGACATGCGGTGGGTGAATTGCTCGCTTGGCAAAGCCGGAAGGACCACGTCGTTCCATTCGTTCCTCATGCTGTTGTAGCCGTAAATAGGAGTGCCAAGCATGGCATCGTTGTAGTCCTAGATTTGAAAAACAAAAAAAACATTGATGTCGTGCACGGTTTATCTAGCTATCTAAAAAAAAAAAAATGTTCCATTCACGTTTCTGGGTTTCTTCGGCCATTGGTACTGATTGCGAGTGTCCACCTCGTTCGGCAGTAGCACTTTCTTGTAAAAAAGCTTAAACTCTTCGATGGGTGTGTAACTGTCTACCGTCCAAGACAGGTTGTAGTCGTTCATGTGCCGTCCAGTGGCGTTGCTAGTAATTATTACCGGATGCGGTTTTCCTGTAATTGTTTTACATTTTTTTCATATTGTTTCGACCAGTTTTATTTACAACAATTAAACGACAAAGTGAAACGAAATGACAACGAGCGATTATTATGACTGAATTTACCTGAAAGTTCAAGTGTGGCCTTGGTCTTGCCTACGATGTTGTCGGCCATACAGGAATAATTTCCAAAGTCACTAGCCTGCACTTTTCTCACTATTAGCGTATGCCTGCTTCCGCGCACTTCTGTGATTCGACGTTCGTTTGTGTCCAGTTTTAAAGTATCTCTATACCAAGACACCTAAAATAAGAAAAATCATTTTAGGTAACACATTAAAGATTGGCTTGCATAAAAAATAAATTATTTTTTATACAATAACCCACAAAAATAAAACTGATGAATTATGGATATTAATTTTCTTACATCCCTGGCATTTAATGTTGATTTTTTGTTAATTATATTCATGCATCACAAATTTGAATATTTTTGGATTTTTTTTTTTAAAGCTATGAAGAATGGCGAGAGCAAACACTATAGTTATTAAAATACTTTTATTGCTTTTACGTTAACTGTCGTTGGCATATATTTATTTTCAAGCATCACTTTTCACTTCAAAATATTTTTTAATAGGTATCTACCAACAATTAAAAAAGATAGGAATAAAACGACTTATTTGAAATTAATAATGAAAATCACCTTTGTGGTAATGTTAAAATAGAATAATTTTTGTATAATTAATACAGTATCGCATATAATTGCTGTTGGTTCCCACATCATCCACTAAGTGTTTTGAATAACCGTAAGTTAAGTTAACAAATGTACAACAACAATTAAAAGGAAAATAACAAAATGTACAATTGGAAAAAAAAATGTTTGCTAAATGTAAAACAAATTAATTGAATGTACAGATTTTATATTTAAAATAATTCATAACTTAGACTGTATAGTGGTAATGGGCATAAGGGAACGTAGGGCACTTAATGGTAAAGCCACCTGACACTTATACTAAGTGTATTGTATTTGTCACGACGTTATTATGTTTTTATTGAACTTTAAATGTGACTTCACAGAAGTCATAACTTCGAAGCGTAATTTTCGTCATGTAAGTTTTATAACAACGCACAAGCACATTATAGCACAACATAGTATGATACAAGTCAGCTCATTTCCTTTAATGTTTATTGCTTCTAAATGCTATAAAACACTTGAGCTCATTCCCAAAAACGTTAATATAAATAACAAATAATATATTTATATAATATTATCTTTGTTAACTTATTGACAACACCATTGAATGATAATTTTTTAAGATTTTACACAATTCAAATTCTATGAGGCGTTTTTAATTATTCAATATTAAATATTACATACAAATTTCACATACCTACATACGTGCTATCATTTTAATATATAATATATTTAATATAATATTGTGAATAATAATTATTTAACTTTATAATTGTAATTTTAATAACAGTTATCTAAACTGATTATTATGACTATTATATTACTATAAATCATAGTATAAATATATGCCATACATTATAAAGTATGTATATGATGAGAAAAAATTAAAATAATACTTTATGAAATGGCAATTATTATAATAAATATTTACCTCTGCTTGTGGTTCGGCATTTACTATGCAAACAAGTAATGCTTCATTTCCTTCACCGGTATGAACCCAGTCACGTTCCAGTGATATTTCCGGAGGATCTAAAACGATGTAAAATTTTATTTATCGGTATTTGTTTTCGAGATCAAAATATTTGTAAATAAAACGAGATAAATTTATCTATACCTATGTAAAATGTCTGAAAAATGGACAGAAAAATAATCTGTCATGTAGCATTTACTAGTAAATAATATTTTGAGAACTGGCAATAAGATACTACCACCATAATAGTAATATTTTATTGTCCATGAATAACCATGGCTTGTGTAGTAAAAGATTAAGATTATAGAACGACGCTCACTAGATAAATATAAAGTTGGGAATACTAGATAAAACTAACCGAGGAATTGACTATTTAATCTTTTAATAACTACCTATTACGTACACTGAACTAATTAAAAAACTACTATTGAATGATAATTTTCACCTAATCCATGTATAATAATAATATTTACTCACATAATATGTTAACGGTGATTGTCTGCTCGGCAGGTTGGCCGACGTTGTTATAAGCTGTGCAAATGTATACTCCAGCATCATGTCGGGTCGCTGATTGTATTATAAGTGTATCTCCGGTTAAGTTCTTATCACCGCTCGGTAGTACGTTGTTCTGAAAATTCAATATTGACACATGATTTTTAGAAAATTAAAAAAATTCATATATGATAGTGAAGCCAATATAATGTAATGATTCGAAATTAGTCAAAATAATGTTAAGCCATACGATATCAGATCTAAAACATAATCTCGAATCCATTTTTATACTCATGAAAGTACAATTAATTATAATAAGTTATAATCTGAAGTAGTGTTAACGGACACCCTTTCACCATTTACTCGTTCTATACATATTGTAAATTTTATATTTTTAATGAAATAAAAAATCGACGTTAACGACGTTTAACTGTCAAATTCACTCTAGTGAAAAAAAGATCTATCTTACAGTACAAATCGTTACTTACCCTTCTTGTCCATGTGATATTGGGTGGTGGATTCCCATCTGCATCACAGTCCAGTTTAATCATTGCGTCTTTTTTGGTGTCGATATTACCACCAGAAGTAACATATTTTATCCTTGACGGCACTAAAAAACACAAAAAAAAAAATAGAATTATTGAATTTTACCGTTGTCTTTTATTTTTTTTATCTTAACGTTACAACAAAATCATTAACAATAGTCATTAGGTAAATGATAAGATAATATTCGGTCTATATTTATTATCACTGTCGTTTGTTAACATAAAATGTAGAAAGCACCGCGTGGATTAATGTTTTTCTTAAAATTAAAATCGAAAATATTCTGTAAATTTTTTTTCTTATTAAGAATTTCAACAAAAATTTTAAAAAGGGGTACACGGTACAGTATAACGTCAACAATAGTATTGAATTTTATTCTTCCGGAGAGAATGTAACGGAAATAAATGCTAACACAGAGGTTCATTCATCATCGCGCACAATATAAGTGCAATACTCTATTACTGTTTCCCGCATGCACGCAGTATATGTAATGTAGACAATGTATATTAATATACCTTTTACCCATCGTTGGTGCCGTTCACGAGATAACCTACGTTCATACAGACGAGAAAAGTTGTGCCTCACCCCTTCCGCACTGGTTAATAATTAATATCTTAACATTGTTTCGCTTTCTTCGTCACCTACGCCCTCGGTCGGGTGCAATGCGTTTTATTATTGAATTCCCAAGGTTCGCCATCAGCGAATGGAATAAAGCATTTCCAACGGCATATTGCCTTTGCCGTGTCTGCGCACGGCGAATATGAGACAACGGCAACTATTTTGCAATAATAATATGACAGAGCGATCACACTTGGGTCGAATACTGCCAACTGTTATTAGCAACATAAAAATTTCCTGTAAATAGTATTACAGTGAATTGCCTATTAACATATTATATGCAATCGAACAACTGAATTGCTTCATTCAACTCATCATTGCCGACTTGTTAACTTAATGTCCGAGTTTCTACCTTTTCCAGATGGTTCGAATACAAACACCTTCCCAGATCGAAATTGGCAATCGACGGGTAGGTACTTGAATTTGTTTTGCGCTATATAAAGGTTTACGTCTCTTAACGTTATATAATATTATCAAATGTTTTGTAATTACACTTCAAACAGTATTTGCGTCGATAGTTGTACAGTAATTATCCCACAAAACTGTTGTGGCGAGGTGTTGCATAAAAGAAAACCAACATAACATAACATCTTAAGAAAGTCCCGCAAACATTTTATACAAACAACTTTGGCCGAACTCGTGTTATAGCGGTAATAACGGTATACATACTGTAAATAATTTAAATGACGTCATTAAATTAATAAAAAAAAAAAAAAAATCCACTGAAACGAGCTGATAATTTCGGCACGCAATGGCTCAATTTACTGTACTTGGTAGTAGTATCCTAAACTAATTTGAAAACGACCCTAATGTTAATACACATCGTTGTTATTTAATTTATGGTGTTCGAAGTTATCTACATTATAATTATTATACAAGCTGTCAGCTATCTATTTTTTTTGGCTAAGTGCTTTTTTATTGTTTTAAATGAATACACGGTTATCGTAAATTACCAACCGTATGTACATTTATTGTTAATAAAACGTAAAAAAAAAATCCTTAAAACACTTAAAATTTAGCATTGATTTTTTAAAGTTTAAAAAAAAAAGTATTAGTGAGCGATTCTGAATTTTTACTTATCTCTAATAGTTATCTGAGGGGTTATCGCCGAGTTTCTGAACTATTAATGGATAAACTCGAATGATAGAAAACATTGGTTAGAGAAATCTTGGTTACTGCAGATTGCTTCTAATAATATAATATATTCATTCCTATATGTTATTTTACTAGTGTACTAGGTAATATGTAAAAATTAATAGAACTCTAGAACTTACCAAAAAACAATAAACATTTTATAACTGTTTAACAATGTTAAATAAATATAAAATAACGTTAACTAAGATGTCTCTCAAGAGAAAAACTACAACACTGTTATTATTTTCAGAGAAAATGAGCGCCTTACATTCACTCTGTACATTTTCTGTGTTCACAAGTCACGCAAACCTGGAGGGGACTGATCGAATTGATTGTCTTAACGACTAACGTGTGAAGACGTTGTGATAAGTATTAAACAAAGGTGCGGATATCCGGTGTCTGTAAAATGCTATTCGGTTCGGTCAAACGATAACTGTGCCTCCGGGATTATGATTTGAATAATGGTCTTGCGGTCCGAGTATGACAGTATCTGAAAAGCCGTTTTGTCGTCTGCCGAGACGTTGTATATATATATATTTATATTTTATTTATACATACACCTTTTTTTTATGGAGAATATTCTCTTGTGTGTGTGTGTTTACACTCATCGTTCGAAAGGTTGTCGCGGAGGAGGTCACTGTTGACCAAGATAGTCACTTTCGGCGACGGCGATTTGTTACCGAAAGGACCCTTTGGCCTTCGAGTCCGATTTATCTTCTGGTGACGTGAGATTTGTCTTCTTCAAAACTCCACCAGTATTCTCTTTTCTGCTCTTAGGTTTTCAACAACTCTGTTCCCTCACACTTATATCGACAACAAACGCAATACACAGAATGCAATAATTTTTGTATTATAATTTATAATGCTTCGGTTGGAACGTTTCTTGTTTCGCCCGCATGTTTCTTTTGTACCTAATCTCGTTACGTATACGTTTACGGGTAACACATAAATGAGTTTCGTGTAAATGTTTCTGTTTTACAATAGGGTTGGATTGGTGTAATGAATATGTAGTATTATTATTTATTAACTAACTACCGAATACGCGGAAATTTTAATCCAAATTAACGATTCACGATTTATTATTAAGGGATTACATGGTTTCTGCCGATATACTTCCATTACGGCCTGGCTATTAATTCCACCCATATGCACTATAAATAATGGTTACCTACTAATATTATAATAACTAACATTAAGATTCGGTTTCCAGCTATTGCATTTCGAATTTAAAACGTTCAATTCCGAGTAGTTATTTTTTAAACAAAATATTGAAGTTGCTAATACTAAATTACCATGTAGAATTCCTTATTTTATTAAAACATTTTTAAAAAAACAATTTACAGAGTATATTGTAGGCAATCATGATTTTAACTTGTACTCGTTTAGTATAAACTATGGTAAAATTATCGATAAATCAGCGGTGGACACATGTAAGGGTCATTTCGTTTAAGTTTGTAGCTGAAAACTTTGCAAAAGTGTACTTAAAGGACTCGGTATCATCAAAGCGAAGCGTGACCGAGATCACTAAAAATTCCCAAGTATTTCTCAAGCAAACATTACTATACATATTTTACAGATATCAAAGGAAATCTTTAGTTTTCGTTTAGCACACATATTGCAGTGTTTAAATAAAAAAAGATTAACTCCTCATATAATCTCGTATTCTATATTTCTCATTGTCTTTATATCCCTTTTGATCATTTGTCGGCATAGAAGGACGAATGGATATTAGTTTCCAAATGACTTTTACTATCGATTTAGACTTGGCACTATCCAATTTCCTCATCCCTGTAATAATATCTGCTCTTATCACAATGACGGTATCAAAAATCGCTTGTCTTATACATTTAAAGCTGTCATTTATCCCTTTTTTAATTGTTTTATATTTTATATTTCCCTGATATCCATTCTACATGGAATCGTATGTATCGTATCGACATGTATCCTACGGGTTTTTATTTAAATATTTTCCATCTATACCTATATAATGGTCGAGCTTTAATAATCTGTTAATTTTGAAACTAAAAAAAGAAAAGAAAAATTGTAAATAATACTAAAGATTAGAGCTAGTTTGATTGTACGTCGGCCAATCAGCCATAGTGCTACCGGCAATAAAGGTACACGCATCGTCGTTTCGTACCACAGAATAATAGAAAACTATATCACCGTACTTCCTGTTTAACATAAGATGTTTTTATGGTCACCCCTTAAAAACTATCGAGTCAGCAATATAGCTGCTGTTGTTTAGCCTCGAAATATTTAATAAATCCAAGACAAACGTATCCAAAATAACAGATTAATCAAAACCAATCTGGTGTATGCATACTTTTACAGTGGTGCTATTTAAAAAAAATATATACGTGTACATAATACACTGTAATACATTAGTAGGTATGTATTATGATTAGATTATTGGAATTATATTGGTAAATATTCTACCAAAAATAGTAAGTAATAATAATGAAAATTAGAATAGTGTACAACCCCACAATTTTAGCGGGAAATAAATCATGATCGAGATCGTTGGTTTTGTCCATATGCTTTAAAAAAACTAAATATCCGAGAAAAGTCTCAGAATCGCCTTACGGGACAACATTGGCAGAAATCAAGGAGAAGGGGACTTGGGATACTAAAAACCTTTAAACATAAAATTAGTGTTTTTCTAAACACATAAATTTACTTTTTAGTGAGAGGTTTGTTGAAATAAAAATAAATATAGCCCTAATTTTATAATTTTAAGTTTTAGGTTTTTAGAATTCCAAACCATCATCTGATATCCGCCAATGCAGGGCTTTTAGACTGCACAATTAAAGTTGCGCAAGCGTTGCATGAGGAAAACTGAAACTAAAACAAACTATAATATGCTCTGAAACAAAATGCCAATGGCCACGCGATAGAGTTATGTGAATAACTTTTGCCAACTGGAGTAGAGAAAAACCGAGTAGGTTTAAAATTAAAAAATACTGTCCGATATCCTAAATTTCCGCTTTTACCCAGAAACGTTTTTTTTTTTTAAACTATTTTCCAACAACAATATTCTAGGATTTTTTCTCATTTATCAAAGTCTGTCCGGCTGGGGAACATCTGTCGACGTACGTATAGAAACGTATAAGAATAGAGCGGCGACAGTATAGTATGGACGTCATGCAAAACGCATTGTGTATTTAAATCCCACTTGCATTCTCATAACGATTAAGGTTCTGACAATAAATTTAGTCTAGAAGTATAAGACTTAAATACAAATACTTATACAAACCTAAAAACGAACCTCCTGATATATTATATAAAGCGCTTATGAAACCAATCTAGATATTCGGACTTCAGTTATGGGAAAAGTGTAGAGAAATGAAACTTAAAAAAATATATTTTTAATTTAAAATATTGTTTTAAGAAAATTAAAAAATGTACCTCCTAACCTCTCAAATTACACACGTATCACCGAAATAGGAAAATTGAAATCGTTCAAAGCTCTTAACGAAAAAAAGCGGTGGAGGACAGAAAACCACACCAGACAAAACACATGTTCTATATTTTACGTTGGGTATGTAGAGTAATTACGGTGTAGGCGATTATTTATAAAATTGATGATCAGTAGCTCAAAAGAGTACTTAACTATTTACACCTTTAACAAGGTGTAGGGTCATTTGTACACTATATACTATAATATGTATGTTTTCATGTCCGATTATTTTATAATAAAATTCCGTGTGTAAAAAAAATATACTGTAACAAAGCTTTTTAAATATTACAGTTTGTGCAATCAGTTATGTTATCTGTGGTTGCTCTGTTTGCACCTCCTTTTTAAAATATGTACAGGGCCCCGCATTATTGTCTCTGGTTTGAACCTTAGTCTTCGAAGTTTTGCTCACGCTAGGTCCATGGGTAGGTCAAAGTAGGCCAGATGAGGCCGGTCGACAGGAAAAATCTGAATTTTTTTAAATGTTTGTCAGAATTAGCTGAGCAGGCGTGTGCTTTGCTTTCGGTTAAGTGCAGTTGAAGAATATGTACAAAAACAAAAGAGACCGATGAGAACGTGCTGGAGGCGTTTGACGATACACGGCACGGGGAAAAGCTTATAGGGACGAGATGAAGTGGGCTCAACTCTAGAAGCATTCTAGGTTTTTTTATCCTCGTTTTAAAGGGTTCTGTGACGTTTTAACACAACAACTTTCTACCATCGCTGCGGTGCATTCATTAATTATATAGTAGCACTAAAACCGTCTGGATGGTCGTGTGAATTTTCGATGGCCCTTCCACTTCTACCGACGAGAACTCTGTGGGGAATCACCAAGTCTGTTATAGTATACACACATATCCTCGCCGGGAAATGCACACGTTACCTCTAACCGAGCTCCGGAAAATATACGGAGCGGACAATTTATATCACATAAAAAGTCTATTTCGGGGCCGACTTAACACAAGTCTCACCGAACACAGTGTTTATGGATTGACTGGACGATTATATACATATTATATATATTAGGGGACCCATTTAACGAGACATTACGTTGAATAGCCGTCTTTATCATTTCCCTAATTTTCAAATTTCATCCCTCAATTTCTCATTTATAATGGGACAATATACGAATTTAAGTAAGTTTTAATTGAGTGTACTACTAGAATAATAATTCTTAGCAAGGCGTTTGTCATTTCTCTTGAATATGTATAATCATTTCTGATAACTATTATAGATAAATTTCCTTACGGTTGTATGATGGAAAATAACGGATACTTGAAAGGAAGTCATAAATATACGTTGAACTATTTTTAACGATACAATTCGGACTACCTATGCTAATGTAGAATATAATAATTTATCGTAATAGGCGTTATCGAACTTTGAAAAACGGTTAAAGTTTGCTAGGAAAATAGGACGTCGCCGGGAGCATTTATTTGCTTTTTTTTTTATCAAACGCACAATAGCACACAACCAATAGCTCATTCGGGCTACTTGGATCTATGAGTTTCACGATTCAGAGAACACAATATTACTAAATTATGAGACCCAAGAAAGTTTTAGAAAAATAAATTGCTTTTCGATGCAATACAAAATATGCTTTAAAAAAAAAAACACATTTTAAAAATTGCCCATAAAGTACGCCATGCTGACAGAGTAACGTCTAAAGTATATCAAACTCGTTGTTTATTGGTTTTTTCGTTCGAAATAACATAATATGATAGTGAAAGACTGATGATAATTATTTGAGAATGCCACTAGTGAGTTTGAAATTTATTGTTATTAAGCAGCTAACTCGTGAAGAATAGTCGAGTACTATGAAAGTAATCAGAATGAACCAAACGAATGGACGTGTGTACCCGTCAAACATGGATTACTGCAGCTGTACTCTAATTTGATTGCGCTCACACAACCTGTATGCTAATAATATAACGTTATTCGTACTCACCTAATATCTCGACGGTGTGAGATATTTCTTTGGGTTGCATGGTACCAATTTGACAAACATAGTTTCCTGCATCGTCCGTTTGAATGTTAGTGATTTGGAGGTTAGTGCCGTCCAATATCTTAATTCGCCTGTCTGGAGTTATGACAATAGGTCCGGCCGTCAACACGGCAATGCCTTTTTTCCAAACCACAGCGTATACTCCTGCGAACAAACACGTCTTATTGTTATTGCGATTGTATTTAATTATCGAATACGACGAGCTTTTTTTATGATGTAATAATATGTAGAAAATACCGCGTCGGCTGATAGTAGCACTGCAATAATTGCTGTAGCACATTGTATACAACCGAATAGATAATAATGTCATTCGGTTACCGCCGAAAATTCGACAAATTCACTCTTTAGCAAATTTTTATGCTGTTCTCCACTTGTTAAACGTCATGGTATGAATATTGTTCATAAGTCTCCAGTTATGTTGTCAACATTATGTTTCGCTATGAGCGCATCACTAAAACCGTTGTGAGTGGTGTTGTTAGTATACATACACTCTAAAGTCAGGACCCAAGGGATGAATTAACGACTGCGTTATAGCCGCCTATGCTACGGCGTGAACCCATTTTAAAATGGGCGTTCGGATGTTAATTGCACTGAAAGTCCCGAGTTGTTGCGGCTAACGGCGTTATTACATAACCGCTTAACTGTTTCTTAGGAGGAAACTTAAAAGACGTAGGAACCCACTGCGCTTGATGCTTGCACGTTGGAAAACAAAAAACGACATGTCATGTGATTCGGGTTTGTCGTGGCGAGTGTAGTAAAAATATAGTAATATCGTGCGTTGTGCAGTTCAATAAGGTACTACTAAAACAGCTATAATTGGGATAGCTGTTATTCGGGAAACCCGTAGTGACTACAAGACAGTGTCGACGTCATTAATCATAATATATTACAGTAGTCCAAAAAGATGATCATTCGAGGGGCGAGGGGGAAATGAAAATAATCGTATGATTACACTGCAGAAGATATCAAACGGATCTGTAATAGTATCTGGTACGGTAATAAATAAAATAATAATAAAAACCTATCCCCTTTACGAATATTTCTGGTTTTAAAATAAAAAAATAATTTCAGAAATGTGTTTTTATGTATACACGGTCGTCCCGATAAGGGAATTTAGCTAATAAATAGGAATAACCAAAATATAGGTCGACTTCATAGTTCTCCAATTGATTTGACACAGATTCAAAATGTTATCAAAAATTCTATATAATATGATAAAATTATATAGATTAGGACACAATTAATTATTATATAAATATTTTTTCTTTTTACATAATTTTATAACAAATGGCTTAAGCAGCTTTTTCCGTGGTGTTTTTATACAATGTGATATCAATTTTTCACAGCATTTTTATGTTTTTAACCCCTCTGAGACAAGTTTTTTTATATCAACTTCTGACACTTGATTGGTAACGTAATTAGTTTATTAATTTTTGAAATTAAGAATAATTTACTGAAAATGTTGACTAGTCGATAACCATATCTTGGATATTATTTCGAAAGTTTTTAACGTTTAAAAGTTAAGACAGGACGGAAAGTGCGGTTGAGTAGTACGCGCAGACAAAAATAGTATTCCCATCCTTCTTCCCACCCAAAACTCTAAACTTAAATAACTTATACGCAATTTATTATTATTTAAGTGTCAAAAATTTATATAAAAATAACTAATTTGGGATGGGTTAAAACATAAAAATGTACATCACATTGTTTGAAAGGAATTACGGAAAAAGCTAATAACAGATTAAACCTCACGATGTATTGAGTGGATCACTTTAAAAAAACACTCTGTATAATATGTATATATTTTGCCGGTCGCATCAAAATAATTAATTAATTAGAGGTAACTGCGTCGAGTGACTCTCATTGTGACATTTAAACGAAACCGATGACAAGGCGATCATCACCGGCGATAGCCATTTTCAATGAAAACAATCAGCAAACCGAACACCGTGTGTAATAATAATGAACAAGTCGATAGGATTTTTACGAGCCGGCAAAGAGCTGGGACGCACAAAGGCTGGGGACTATGCTGTAAAGTTGATTGATTATACCGACTGCTATGTACAACAACAATGAGCCGGACAGATTTCGGGATAGAAATATAATTAATTATTACGGATGTTCGCCAGTCCAAACAGATTTCATTACCGCCCTCGATCCTTCAACGGCAAACAGCGGTAAACATATTATTATATAAGCCATGCCCGACCGGAGATCATGGAATGATAAGTAATAATTTACATTTCAGTTATACACATAAGGGCGTACGATTGTATTTTATGTTCTTGAAATGGGTAAGTATATTATTTTATTTATAATCATGGCTAGGGTTAAATGTTATACATTTTAAAAGTTCACGTCTCGGTCTCGCCTCACTACAGTATTTTCCATATTGAAAAATATAACGTTTCATTGGAGAAAATCGCTTTTAATAAAAAAAATTATAGTATCTAATAAGAGGATATAATATTATTACAGTATAATCCTGTAATGCGACTAAAATAAAATATAATGTGCTTTATATTGTGATTATTTTATCAGAGAAAATAGATTTCAAAAAAGTTTAATGCGTAGTATTATATTTGTTTGGTCTGCCTTTCATAATACCGTTTAGTGCGTGTTATTCAATGGCTTTCGATACGGAATAGCGTTAAATTTGAACCCTCTTGTAATAAAAAAAAATATATATTTTTTAATATTCTTACGAATTATTTCAACGTAGGTTTACTAAATATGTGAATAAACACCCAGACATACAATTTAACCATATAAGAATACAAGATTTGACTTCATGTATAAAGAGCCAACATAGCTATTATAATACATGGATTTGACATCAAATAACAATATAAATCTGCATAGAGTCTCATTAAAAAGTTTTAATATTAATTCATTTTTTGGTGAAAACGAATAATTTAAAAAATCTAGGATTTTCTTTTTAAAGAAGGTAATGCATTATTCCAATCTAAATGTTTTGTCAAGCTATAGTTAAATTGTGACAATACATATACTTGTATTACTAATATAATTTATTTATGTGTGTTACTTATAGTTTTACCGAGAAAAATAAGTATTGTACTAGTATTGAAGATTGTGTATAAAATGGACCCAATCTATCAGGCTGTTATATCTAGTGAGTTTAACGTAATAGTATTTGGACGGTAGTTGTTATATATCAAATATGTGCATTCACATAAAATTCTAACGTTTAACTGGATAATATTGTGTTACAGTGTGGTTTTACGTATACGCATTGGTCTGTTATAGAAAAAACCTAGGATTTTCGCTTTGACGAAAATAAACCTTATTGAAACATTATGTTGATAAACCTATACAGCAAACTTTGTCACATCTAGACATAAACATTTAAGTATCTGATAAAATGTAGGTTTTGTTCAACGCATGTTTTTTTAATAGCGACGACAACGACCAACACGTCATGCAATACTGACTTTGTCTGTACTAAAGCTGAACAAAACTTAATAGTTAATCTTTATGAAAATATACGTGTAAACTGCAAGTTAACCCTTCATTACCAATTGTAGCAGAAATGCAACATGTTCATTACATCATTTTAGTTTGTTGGAAAAATACGTTTCATTTAGCATGACATGGCACCCTATAGTATTATTAGAGAAATTGCTTTCTACCAGATATTATAAACATAGTTTGTTTTTTATTATACTATACATTTTTTCCCAAATTCTTGATAATTTTATCTATATAAAAAACTGTACATCATAAAATTAAAATAATTGGTCATAGAATGGTTAAATCGAATAGATACTGCTATAACTAACATATCATATTTTTAGTATTGTATAATATTGTAAACACAAGTAAAGTAAAAAGGCATAAAGTAAAAAACGCGAAATTCCTAAATTTACTGGCCAAGGGAAAAATCTACAGATTTCAGTCCATTTTTGTGTGTACTGTTTTGCTGTATCAAAACGCCAGCAGTGGCGACAAAAAAAAATATCAGTCGCGAAAAATCTACAATCTATCTATCTACCATCTATACGGAAAATGAAAACGAATATTTCAACGTTTTGATGGATGCGTTTTTGATTCATCCGTTGGAGCGGTACGAAAGTATGCATAATAATTTGTATAATAACAGTGTTGGCATGCGCGTACCCGCTGTCTAACCGTTATATATTATATTATACATTATGCACAGTAATACCTATAAGAAACGGTCGTTTCTCTCAAAGCATGAAATATATGTCTGTATTTTCCCACAGGGTCGTCATCAAAAAAAAAAAAAAATTCTGTTTAACTCCACCGCACCGACGAAAGCTTCTATGCGCCAAGCCAACGCAAAATATATGAAAAAAAAAATGTTTTTATTATTTATACCGAAGACCGAGTGCGAATAGTATTTAGTACAGGCGTAATGTATTGCTATTGGACAAAAAAAATAATAATTTTCAATTGGAATCAAGAGCAAGAGGTTTTCCAAATGTCTTCGACGGTAATTTTTTTCAAATTATTTTTTTCCAAATGTCTTAGATGGTTATTTTTTTTCCATCTCCGCCAAGACATTTTGACGGATAATATGGCGCAGTCAAAGTACGCGAGGACGTGTCGTCCCTCATCGCGCGATGACGTTTTTCGTAATTGAACGGTCGGATTACCTCTGTGTATAATATATGGTGTAGACATCAACATTTAATTTCATGCTTATAATAAATTAAATATATAAATTCGTCAAAAAATGAACCGACATGCCTATAACGTTGCACTATTAATATTATAATCACGAGGAAATGGCGATATTGTCGGTTATTAACACTGTTGGAATACCATTGTATAACTAGGCTGACCGCTAATTAAACTATCATAGATGCCACGGTAACAGTTATAATCGAACCCGACAAAAAGGCTTACAGCCACACAGGACTACTGAATCACATAAATGGGGATGCGAATCTAAAAACTTTAAACAACCGTAAAATTGCCTGTCAATTCTAGTTTTACCCGTACTCTGAAACATGTAATCCAACATCAGTTTTTGAAAACAAATACAGATTTTTCAATATTTTTTATTCACGCATCGATTGAAGTACATTTTTAATAATCCAAATGTTTTATACTGTTCGAAATAGAAACATACGGTTTTGTAAAAAGTACATTTATGCGGT